ACTATTAATTTGATGTAATGATGGGAATGCTACCTACAGCAATAAGAAAAGAAAAAGAACTTGAGTCGAAGAAGAAACAAAATTATTTGCAAATAGAGCGCAGGACTTAAAACTTCAGAAGACTTGAGTTCAAATCCTGCCTTAAGATATCTGCTACCTCTATGACTTGACTGCTGCTTGCCTGAGTTTCCTCATCTGTAAAGTGGGGATAATAATAGCACCTACCTCCTAGGGTTGTTGTTAAGGATAAGATAAAATGATACTTGTAAAATGCTTTGCAAATTTTAAAGTGCTATATAAATGTTAGCTATTATTCTAGTTACATATGTAGATGGTATGGTGATCTACATAAAGAACCCAAGAGACAACTTAAAAAAATAAAGTGAAAACACTAACTTCAGCAAAACAGCCATATATAACACAAGCTGACAGCCCAACATAAAAATTATTTTTGCATTCATGTTGTGTATGTATTCTTATTTGCTTACTGCTCCCAGCAGAATGTAATCTCAAGGAAAGAAAGAGAATTTCCCCTTCTGACTCTGTGGTAAAAGGGTCAACAAACTATGGCTGGAGAGCCAAATCCAATACTTTTTTGGATTTTTAGAAACAATAAAGTTTTGTTTAAAAAAAACATAAAAGACATTCTTAGCTATCCTGGATACTAAAACAGGCAAAGGCAGTAGCTGGCCGACCCTTGCCCTAGAACAATGCCTGGCACACAGAAGGCAATTATTCCAAACCACCTATGCTTGCCCATTCTGCGCTACTCTTATCTACATCTTTTATAAGTTCAACAAAGGGGGTTCACCCAACCTGATGCATATTTTCTAATAATATCTTATTATTTACCAATAGGCAGTCAAGTCGCACAGTGCATAGAGCAGGCTTGGAGTCAGGAAGACCCAAGTTAAAATCTAATTCAAATTATTTTATGATCCTAGGCAAGTCACTTACTTGCTTCCCTTTCCTCATCTGTAAAATGGGGACAGTACTTACTCACTTACTGCCCTATGAGTTGTTTTGAGGATCAAATGAGATAATAATTGTGAAGTGCTCAGTACAGTGTCTGGCACATAGTAGGTGCTATATAAATGTTAGCTATTACTATTATTCTACACAGATAACATTATAATCAACAAAAATTTATTTGCAACAATAATTTTATCAAAGTGACAGTATATAAAAACCGACATAAATAAACATGTTTTCTACATATTGCCAATGAAACCCAAAAAGGCAGAAACTCCATTCAAAAGAGCTACCATTTACACAACATTTAGGGGTCTACCAAGACAGAGACATAACCCTATTCTTAAACATACCTCAAATAAGTAGAAAGACATTATACTATCTAAATTAACTTTTTTATTCAGTGACATACCAAAAATTTAGGTAGAAAAAAAATGATAAAAAAATTTGAAAAAATAAAAGGTTTTTTTCTTGAGAAAACAAAACAAAAAAACAAAGGGACTTCTTTTCTGGACTCATTTCATATTATTTAAATTGATTCACTGTACATTCCAAACTGGACTATTTTCCTTCACCTGACAATCAACTTCCTGCTTCTATGCCTTTCTATAGGATGGTTCCCCACATCTGGAATGTAGTCACTTCTTACCTTCTAAGGGTTTTCTTCAAAGCACAGATCAGGTGAGACCTACCTACTACACAAGGTTTTTCATGATCCACCACTTGTTAGTGATTTCACCTTTTTTAAAGTATTCTGTATTTCACAGTCACAGAATTTTAGAGCTAGAAGAGACATCAGAGGGCACTTAGTCCAATGCATACATGAAAAAAAACCATGTCCAGCACTTGTTCATCCAGTCTGCCTGGGCACTTTCAATGAGGAGGGTACTCACTCTGAAGATAGACCCATTCCACTTCTGCATAGTTCTTTTGGGAAGATTTTTCTGACTTCAAGCTAAATTTGCCTCTTTGCAACATTTTTTCTTCCATCTTGATTTGTCCTAGACTCCAAACTGAACAAGTCAAATCCTTTTTCAAATCAACAACCATTCATTAATCACCTATTTTGTGCCAAGCACTGTGCTAAGTGTTGAGGATAAAAAGAAAGAGGAAAAAATACTTGTCCTCAAAGAGCTTACAATGGAAAGGGAGAGACAACATGAAAACAAGTATATATAAACAGCGAAAATGGAGGTAATCTTAGAGGGAAGGCATTAACATTAAGGGGGACCAAAAACCTGCTTGTTTTAGGAGGATTTTAGCTAGAGTTTGAAGGAATCTAGAGAAGCCAGGAGGTTAAGACGCAGAGAGAATTCCACTCACTGGAAGCAGCCAACAAAAATGCATGGAATTGGGGCAGCTAGGTGGTGCAGTGGATAGAGCACCTGGCCCTGGAGTCAGGAGCAATGGAGTTCAAATCCGGCCTCAAACACATAACCACTTACGTGACTCTGGACAAGTCATTAACCCCAACTGCTTCACCAAAAAAAAAAAAGTATGGAGTTAGGAGACATATTTTGTGAGAGGAACAGCAAAGGAAGCTGGTGTCATTGAATCATAAAGTACATGAAGAACAGTAATACATTTTGAAGACTAGAAAGGTAGAAGGAGTCCAGGTTATGAAGGGCTTTAAAACTTTTCAAAAAGAAGATATTGTATTTGATGCTGGAGGTAAGAGGGAGCCAACTGAGTTTACTGAATAGGGTGGGAGACATGGCCAGATTTGTGCTTTAGGACGATCAGTCTGACAGCTGACTGAGGGACAGTCTGGGGTAGAGAAAGACACGAGGCAGGGAGACCAACCAGAAAGCTATTGTTATAATCCAGGCTTATAGTGATGAGGGCCTGCACCAAGGTGATAGTAGTGTCAAAGAAGAGAAAGGGGGATGTATGAAAGATACAGTTTTGTCCTGAACAGTTAATAGGAAAGTTAGGAAGGGGAAGAAGGGAGTCCCAGGAGAAAGAAAATTACTTCAGTTTTGGACACACTGAAGTTTAAGATGTCTATGAGACATCCAGTTCAAGATGTCCAATAGGCATGGGAAACTGTAAAGTCAGGAGAGAGGGGTAAGAGCTAGATAAACAGATCTAACAATAATCTGTATAGAGATGACAGTTGAAATTATTTTAATATAGCTATTATGTTCCTTCCTCTGCCTTCTCAAGATTTCTTTGTTCCAGGCTAAATATTCTCAGTTCTTTCTGTCAGTCAATCACTAATTACTCATTCAATAGTTGACTAGTCATTTGTTAAGTAAGTGCCTGCTACGTGTTTTCAATTTTATTTGCTAAGTTTTTATCCTCAAAATGCTTCAGCTCAACCATAGACAGCTTGGACCCCACTGGAGCAATTAGTGACACCCAGCTTTCCCACTCTCTACCACCAAAACAATCTGTTTGGAATATCTCTTAGCCATTAGCCTGATATCCATTCTTCTCTCTCCAAAGACTAGGTCTCAGAATTAAGTGCTAAGGTCAGAACTATGATGACTTGATCTTTTTCTTTTTCAGATATATATACAATTGTGTCTTTTAAAGTATTCACACATTTAATTATTGAAAATAAATGGAATTTAAACTAGGGCAGGAACTTTTACATGAACCCCTGATTTATTTCTTTGTAACTGGGCTTTTATCTTGGTTTGTATCAGAGATTCACCTGTGGGATTATTTCCACATTTTGAATCTAGAAATGATACAGATAATAGTGGTATCAGAAGTAAATTTGGACTTGTGAATGCTTGCCCTAATTTTGAAATAGTTATAAAAAGTGTAGCCTCCCTCAAAATTCACATCCCAGGAAATATTTACTATATGTTAACATGCTATATCCTCTTTCCTGCCACCAGCAAGTTAAGTATCCTTGAGAAGAATGTTTTTCATTTTTACCTATGTATCCTTAGCCTATCACACAATTTAAATTAAAAAAAAATTAAATCTCATATTACACACTTGACCTTGTCTGAACTCACTATTCAACTGAATTATGTAAAGTTCCTTGTGATATACCTTCATCTTATGAGTTTAGATAATGTAAAGCCTTATATTTGAATTTAAAAAGTTAACTTTGCAAAGGACAAAATGGAAAGATATCTAGAATGTGGTTCAACTGAAAAAAACATATGGGGGCTTTTAGTGAACTAAAAGCATAATGAGTCAAGGGTGTTATATGCCAGCCCCTAAAAAGCAAATCTTATCTTACACTGCATGAGATGAGGCACAGTGCCTAAAACTATGGCATTGACAATCCTTGCTATACTCTTAAGGTCAAATCTGACATACTGTATTCACGTCTGAGCATCATATTTTAGGAAGGACTTTGCTGAAAAAGATCCAGGACAGCCACCAGGAAGTTAGGAACATCAAGATCAACTCTCATTTTACAAATGAGAAACTGAGGCCAAGAAAGTGACTTGTCAAAGATCATACTGTTGTTAAATAGCAAAGGCAGGATTTAAAGCTAAGTCTCAAGGATGTTTAGCCTGAAGACGAGCAGATACAGGAAATATAATAGCTTTCTTCAAGTATTTGAAGAGCTGCCAGAAGAAGTCATATTGGGTTTATTTTGCTTGGCCCCAGAGAGGAGAAATAGGAGCTATAATTAGTTAGAAACTGCAGGGAGGGAAGATTTTTGGCTTCCCCAAAATATAGCTTTACAAAAGCAGAATGGGGAGCAGTGCCGGTATCGGGAGAAGATGGGAAGGAGTCTTCATGCAAAGCCAGCTAAAAAAATACCTTTCCTTCAATAAACATCTCATCTTGTAAAACATTTAGGGTAACAAGTGTTCAGTCTTTTAGTACAGCATATTTAATACTTCGTACCTGCAGTGGCACTTAAAAGCATATATGATTCAATTTTTTTTTGATAGAAACCTACCCAATTTCACTCATCTTAGAATTATACTAATAATTATAATGATAACAATATGGATCCTTTGCCCCAATAACACTCTACATATCTTTTAAATGATTACAAACACGTTCCCATCCCTTCAGTTTTATTTAAAATATGAATTTATCAAACTTACCAATAGTAAGGTCATGTACTGGCTGAAACCTCTTGTCTGTAAACTGTAGCAATAAACATGATTTTCCAACACCTGAAAGAAATGTACACACATCTTTTAATTACTATTGGCATATGTTACTAAGAAACAGAAAAAAAAAGTAAAAGGAAGAACTAAGGTATGATCCAATAAATAAAATGGGGCTTTATAAAGCATTATATTTATTTTAAAGTTCTCTTAAAAATCTAAAGGACTATATGCCAAAATATTCATAGCAGCATACTTGTGGTAATAAATAACTGGAAACAAAGTTGTCTTCCATTGATTGGGGAATGGCTTAACAAATTTTGGCATATAAAACACTATAAGATATAGCAAAAATGAGAAATCATGATGAACATTAGAAGGCACTATGAAACATACCTAGAAGAGAAATGTGAGAACAAAGCATATAATGACTATAATGAATGATATTAAGGAAAACATTAACTGAGAGTGGAAGGCTGATTAAATGTAACGATGAGTCAGTCAGTCAACTAGCATTTATTAAGCATCTACTATGTGCCGTACACTGTGGTCAACCTTGTAAACAGTTGTTTGAATGGATGTGGAGAATATGATTCAATGGGTTTTGTTAAATGTTCCTTGTTAAAAGAACAAAGGACAAAAAGAAATTGTGTGGGGGGGAAGGGGGAGGAGAAGGATTAAGGGGAAATTATTACACACACACACAAAAAATCCTGTAATACTGTTTTGTTATTGTTTTAAGTTGGGAGGAGGGAACAAGACCTGAAGGAATGATTATACAGAATTCCTGAGTCATGTCCTAGATAACCCTACACAAATGGGGATTCTTTTGACAATGGTATACTAATAGCATTCACACCAGATCGAGGTTGAATAGGGAAGAATGGAGCTAAAGGAAAACAAGATGCTAAGCTTTTATATGTCACTCCCAACCCCCTTCAAAAAACCCCCAAACCCCAAAAAACAACCTGTGGGGCTACCAGTGCTGGTGATTTTTTTTTAGATGCTAATTCTACTCCTTCCCTTCTGAGTGGTTCCAAAAGATCCTGAAGTACCCCACTGCCATATCTTGCATTTTCTCTTCTTTTTTCCCTTCCATAGCCCTCCAATTCCAAATATAATGGTAGTCAGAATTGGAACATGGGGTAGAACTACGTGAAAATCTTACTTTACTTTCCTCAGCATCAGTATGAACTTTGAATCCTTCACATTTACTCCTCTTGATTTTAAATTATATATTTATCAATGCCAGTAACTTTGGTCTAAGCTACAATTATTTTTGGACTTGGACAGAGTATAACTCTCTCCCAATTCATTTATTATTTCTGTTCTGAGCCAGACAGAGAGAGACTGAATGGGAGTCCTGAAGATTGAGGGTCAAATCAAGGCTCTTACACTTAATAGTCCAGGTAAGTCACTAAATCTATATTGTTTCAGGTAACTCCTTAGGATTTATCTACTTAAATTAGGGGTTAGCAAATGTTGTCAAAACTGGGCCAGATAAAAAATATTTTAGGCTCTACAAGCCAAAAGGCAATATCAAGGATACCATACAGGTACTTACATGACAAAAGCGAAAATAAACTTCCACAAATTTTTTATTGACAAAATTCAAGATAAAATAATTGAATAAAGAAAAAAATTAATATAGGTTTACTAGTGAGAAAGATGGACTTCTTTTTTAGAGGATAACATTTCACTTAACTGGAGTTCAAAGTTAGTGTTCCCTATCATCAAAATCAACTACAAATGTTTATCTCTTAATGCTACCATAGATTTTAGAGAAGCTGAGACTGGAAAGTTCAGTGACTTGCTCAGGGTCATTTAGCTCATAATTGTCTGCTGTAGAACTTAAACTCCTTTATTCATGACTTCAAGCCCAGTGCTCTATTCCTTTTGCCACCTAGTTCTTATTTTCCCTTCAGCCATTTGAGAATGCCATCATCCTTGCATTCACTTACAAGCAAGATTTCCATTCCCACACAAATTTGTAAGAGATTTTTTGAGCTCAGACTACTGTTCAGCAGTTTTCGGACCTCAATGTTAAGTGCAAAAGTAATTTTCGTTTTTCAAAATCCATTTTACTGTGCAAATGACAAGCTTTCAACTAAATTTCAATTGGAAGTGGATTAATTTGCAGTGCAAAATGATATACTAAAGGCAGATATCAAGAGAAGAATCTAATAGAATTCTATATATGCCTTTCAAATGATGGATATGCTTAATTAAAATTGTATACTTGTGGACTGATATCAGTATTTGGCAATACTTATGTCTATGATAAGAAATTTTCAAAGATTAAATACTTAAACATTTACCAGTACACCACATTGTATCTATCAATATTTACCACATCATATCTGCTTCTGCATATAAACGACTGTGATGTATCTTTTTGGTTGAAATATATGTAAAACTGGGATAATAAGAGCAATTGCAAACCGCTAAGCACAGTGCCTGGCACACAGTAAGTGCTATATAAATGTTAGGTATTATTATTATTTGAAAAAAATTCAGCCTCATACTGATATGTAGTCAGAAATAGAAGGAATATTTTAATAGACCTGGTCTTAGAATTATTATTAAATTAGTTTTGACCTCATGGACTCCCTAAAAGGGTCTCAGAAACTCCCAGGGATAAACTGAATATATTTTTGAGAACCTCAGGGTTACAAAAGAAAAAAGGGCGTGGACTACATCAGAAGTGTCAAACTCTACACTTTCCAATGGCAGCTACACCAGGTTTAAACTCCAAGGAACTGAATGCTCCTCCCAAGATAAGCTAATTACCTGAAATCATCATACAGTTTAATCCCAGGTAATGATACTCAACACCTTCCCAACTCCTTCAAGTTTATTTAACAAAATAAAGATATAATACAACATAGATAATGTTAATTTGTAATGTTCTAAGTCAATAGGCAGGGTAGAGATCCATTAGGTACCTGAATATGAGACCACCAGACTAGATGACTAGTCTGACTAGTTTAAGACTAGTCTAACTCTCTAGTTCTTTGTACCTTTGATAGACAGCCCTCAGAATGAATCAGCAGCAAAAATAATCAGGAAATTTAAAGTATCTACAGCTGCTCTGCACCTCCTGCTTTTCAAGCCTTATTCTCAACTTCACTTCTTTTCTCACCTTCAATCTGCTGTCAAAAAAGTTTATTAATTATATCCTTGAAAGAAGAAGCACAGGGGTGGAGTCAAGATGGCAGAGTAAAAGCAGTGATTTGTTTGAGTTCTCCCCCAAACCCCTCCAAATACCTGCAAAAAAATGGCTCTAAACAAATTGTAAAGCAGCAGAACCCATAAAAAGACAGAGTGAAACAAAGTTCCAGCCCAAGACAACCTAGATGGTGGATCAGAAAGGTATGGCGCCAGGCTGGGAGAGGAGCTCAGTACAGTGGGCTCGAAGGCCATAGCAAACCTGAAGCAGGCCTCAGAGGACTGAATCTCGGGCAGCTGTGGTGGTTTCCAGACTTCTCAACCCACAAACGCCAAAGACAGCTTAGAACGTAAATGGGAAAAGTCTTTTTCTGCGGTGAGAGAAGCTTGGGGTCTCAGCCCCATTCCCTGAGGAGCTCTGCCCTGGGTGGTGACTGCCTCCTGAGCTTCCGGGCCACAGACTGAGGGGAAATTGAGTAGCTGATCAGAGGGGGATTGCAGGGATCTCTTTGCCAGTGCTGAGGCAGCAATCTCTTGTTTTGCCCATGCTTGGACCTGGGTCACAGTTCTGGGTGGCCGTCTTGGGTGAGGAGGAGCACTGGTATGGTGGCATTTGTAGTACCTGGGAAGAGCAAATTCTCCTCACAGTTCCAAGATAGAAAAGTCTGCTTGTGGTCACTCATAGAACAGAGCACAGGCCAGGAAAAGAGTAAACACCTTGCCCTTTATCACACCACCTTGAAGAACTGAAAATTTAGAGATCCCTAGAAGTATCTTTGTTTCGTTTTGTTTTGTTTTTGCTTTTAGGCAATTGGGGTTAAGTGACTTGCCCAGGGTCACACAGCTAGGAAATGTCAAGTGTTTGGTCTGAGGCCGGATTTGAACTCAGGTCTTCCTGACTTCAGGGCCGGTGCTCTATCCGCTGCGCCACCTAGCTGCCCCTCCTAGAAGCATCTTTGAAAACAGCTGTACAAACCCCTGAAGCTTGGGACAGTACACTCTCCACATTGGAAGCAGACTCTTACCTTAACAAAGAGTTTAAAACTCAAGTAGTTGGCTGGGATCATGAGCAAACCTCGAAAAAAGAGTCAGACTATATTATCTTGCTTTGGTGACAAAGAAGATCAAAATATACAACCAGAAGAAGACAACAAAGTCAAAGCTCCTACATCCAAAGCCTCCAAGAAAAATATGAATCAGTTCCAGGCCTTGGAAGAGCTCAAAAGGGATTTTGAGAAGCAAGTAAGAGAAGTAGAGGAAAAACTGGGAAGAGAAATGAGAGTGATGCAAGAAAATCATGAAAAACAAGTCAACAGCTTGCTAAAGGAGACCCAAAAAAATACTGAAGAAAATAACACCTTAAAAAATAGCCTAATCCAAATGGCAAAAGAGGTCCAAAAAGCCAATGAGAAGAATGCCCTAAAAAGAAAAATTGGCCAAATGGAAAAGGAAGTCCAAAAGATTACTGAAGAAAATACTTCCTTAAAAATTAGAATAGAGCAATTGGAAGCTAGTGACTTTATGAGAAATCAAGACACTATAAAACAAATCCAAAAGAATGAAAAATTAGAAACAATGTGAAATATCTCATTGGAAAAACAACTGACCTGGAAAATAGATCCAGGAGAGAGAATTTAAAAATTATTGGACTATCTGAAAGCCATGATCAAAAAAAGAGCCTAGACATCATCTTTCAAGAAATTATCAAGGAAAACTGCCCTGATATTTTAGAACCAGAGGGCAAAATAGAAATTGAAAGAATCCACCAATCTCCTCCTGAAAGAGATCCCCAAAGGAAAACTCCTAGGAATATTGTAGCCAAATTCCAGAGTTCCCAGGTCAAGGAGAAAATATTACAAGCTGCCAGAAAGAAACAATTCAAGTACTGTGGAAACACA